TTCGGCTATGCCGAAGGCTTCATACCTTTCATGAACATCTGCAAATTTTAGTTTGACAGTTTACTGATTTTGAATACATCTGCATACATCGATAGAGGAGTTACATACTTATATAAAAAATCGCATCTAAACAATCAGAGGTATGGAAGATATACTTTATATGGCACCAATCTAAGTGATTTTCACTGCTATGTGATCGGTATGTAAACCGGTAACACAATTTATTGGGTTTAGTTTCCTACATAAAGGAGATATATCGCAAAAACTGGTATCTGAACAATCAGTGCTATAGGAGATAAAGCTTATACAGCATAGATTTTGACGATTTTCTCAGTAGACTTTGTATTATTATTTATAAAATATCTTACGAAATTTATCGGTTTTAGCTGTTCAAATAAAGGAGTTTTACAGTAAAATCCCATATCTGAACAATCAGATGTATGGAAGATATATGTTGTAGTCACCCGATCCTTGTTATTTTCACTGTACGTATTCTGTTAATAATGAGTGAAAATGGTGCGAAATTTCATGTTCCTAGCTGCATAAATGGAGGAGATATGATAAAAGACCTCATATCTGAACAATCAGTTGTATGGGGGCTGCAGGTTATAGTGACCCGATCTTCGTTATTTTCACTGTAAGTCTTTTGCTGATAATGAGTGAAAACCGCGCGAAATTTCATGGTCCTAGCTAAATAAATGGATGAATTATAACGAAAAATCTCATATCTGAACAATCAGTTGTATGGGAGCTATAGGTTATAGTTATCCGATCTTTTTAATTTTCACTGTAAGTTTTCTGTTGATAATTATTGAAAACAGTGCGGAATTTCCTGTTCCCAGCTTTATAAATGGAGGAGTTATAACGGAAAATTTTATATCTGAACAATCAGTTGTATGGGAGCTATAGGTTATAGTGACCCGATCTTTGTAATTTTCACTGTAAGAATTCTGTTGATAATGGGTGCAAGTGCTGCAAAATTTCATGTTCGTAGCGGCATAAATGGAGAAGTTATAACGAAAAATCTCATATCTGAACAATCAGTTGTATGGGAGCTATATGTTATAGTGGTCCGATTCTTGCGGTTCTGACAAATGATTAATACATTATAAAAATACACCCACCTACCAAATTTGATCCGGATATCTCGAAAACTGAGAGACTAGATTGCATACAAACAGACGGACAGACGGACAGACGGACATGGATAAATCAACTCAGCTCGACGTTCTGATCATATAAGTATACATTTTAATGGGTCTATCTCTTTTTGTTCTGGTACTTACAAACATCGGACCAAAGTTATAATACCATTTCATGCTCATGAAAGGTATAAAAATGCTTCAAAACCGTCAGGTAGGTGTAATTCTTGCTGTCAAATTTTTCACCAGTCCTGCCGGGTTGAACATATTCATTCACCTCATAGGGCCTGTGCCAATCAGTAACTTTTTTCTCCGTGGTGAGACGGGGTGGAAGGATTTGCTATGGTGTACAAATAAATTAAATTTGGCTGTGCCAAATGCAAAGTAAAATTTTGACAGTTGAAAAACCAAACAAACGCCCGTGCGAAAGCTTTATTTGTGTGTGCTGCTGAAATTGTTAAAATTTTTATTTATTTTATAACTTACAAGTAACTTACGCTTCTTTTGTGCTTTTTCGGCTTTCATTTTCATGTTCCCTCTTTATTACCGCCAAGCAATAATATGTGTATACATGTTTATAAGTTGTCAAAATTTTACCTAGCTTCATGAGCTAGGTAAAATTCTGACGTTCGTTTTCACCACGAGAAATGTCAAATTTTTACTTTGATCCGTCAAAATGTCCTCTTTTCTATCAATTGACACAGTCCCATAGTTAACAAATATTTACAATCCGTAGTACTTTTCTATCAATTGGCACATGCCCTTTGCACAAAAAAGGTTATGAAATGCGTTTTATTTAAATCGTTTAGAAAACGTGTCATTTATCTGTACCATTTTATGTGGAATTATTCAATAAATTTCGTTTTACACTATACTTTTTAAAACTATTTGGAGTTAATTATTTTTGTTTCTCATGTAATGCAAGCAAATGCTTTTCGTTGGAAGGTATGTAGGAATAAGCACAAATGCGTTTATTTAGTATATGTTTCTAATAAATGGAATTTAATGGGGATAAGATTGGCTAATGAGAAAAGTGCGCGTACATACATATGTACATAAGTGCATAGCTATTTAATGAAAAGTAGCGCAGAATAAGGAAAAATTTTCCAGCAATAATCAAGTAATAACTAAACGTTGGTTTTACTACGACCATGCAAAGATGAAAAAATTTAGTTGATTACGACTAATTAATTTTATAAGTCAAACGCGATTAACATTTTAATCGTTAATTTTTAATATTTTGCCAACACTGTGTGAAATCATATTCATACTCACGGAGAAAAATCGACGATTTTGGGAAAGAGGCGTAGCACCTCCAATACTGACTGAAAGTAGCATATCTCTTCAAATGTTTGGGGTAAACTACTCAAGCTTGGTATGGAAATACATATGTATGTATGTATGTGAAACTAATACCATACTCATGGAGAAAAATGAGAGTTATTGGAAAAGGTGGTGTGGCAACTCCCATGCAAATTGATTTTTCTATGCTGCATATCTCTGGAGGTATTTATTGCAGAGGTGTAGTGTGCCTGACCACTCTAATGCATGTGCATATTGCTGACGCGAGAAAGCAAGTCGATGTCCAAACCGCGTTTGACATACTTTTAATAATTATGACACACGTGAAACACTTGAGACACCGTTCTTGTTACGTCAGCAATATTGACCATGTTGCAAGCGATCAGAGCACTCGCCAAAGGTAACATGCAAAACAGTTTTGCATGACACATTAGAAGTAGGGGAAATGGAAGTAACCAATGATTTGATTGGTTGCTCATAGAAATAAGAATTTAGGTTAATTTAGATTGTAAGCATATAAAAGACGGCGATGAGCCGAAATAAAGTCATTCTTGGTTTAAGACGCAATTCTATTGTTAGTACTTATTCCTTGAAGCAAAATCG